GAAAATGTACGTAGCGAGGATAAAGGGAGCGAAGAACGAGCTCGAGGGTAAAGAACCACCACCGCCGCTATCGCCTCCCTTCTCCATCCCTCTAACCTTTCCCCTCGCCCTTCCCCCTTCGTCCTTCGCCGCGCCACGGTTCACCTCACCCTATCTCGGGCTAGGGCCAGGCAACGCTACCCACCGTCGTTTCCCTCCACCCCTGGCTTCCAATTAAAACCGTTTTCGTCCATCTCGACTCTGTTATTTTCTTTCTCCCTCCCTCTGTCTCTTCCCCGTGCAGCGGACCGCTCCGTCATTTTTCAAGATTTTTCTTCCCGACGCCAGCAAGTCGACGGACGGGGGAATCGGAAAGGGAACTCGGAAGGACTTCTGCAGGGCTCTTCTCGTTGAAACGTTCGTCAACGGGAGGCGTTGTTGCAGCTTTTTTTCTCGCTAATGTTCACCACCTTTCCCCTCGATATTGTTCGCGTTGTCATATTTATGCAAAAACGTGAGAAACGAAGTTTAAAAATAGGGGAAAAGAAAAGACACAAAGACACTAGCTACCTAAATGTGTACTTAAGAAAAAAACACCGGGAAAATCGTCTATATCATTGGAAATGCGCTCGAGGTTAGGTCTGAGCTAGCTCTACATAAACCAAAAATGAAACTTTCTTATTTTCCTTTTTTTTTTTATAAAACTTTTACCAATGTATTTGTTAGAGTTTTCCAATTAAAATGAGACCAAACACGGCATAATTAGTTTCCAACCTACTTCCACCAGAGTACAAAATCTCGTTAAATACGGAAATATGTTGCTCGTTCGTACGCAGAAGCATGAATCGCTGATAAAGAGGACGAAAATAGCATATTCTTTCGACGATATTTTCACAGAAGCCCTGCCTTTCGTGCCGTTATCTAGGAGAATATAATTACCATCTCCGCGGGCAGGATATAATTCACATCCTGCGGCAGAAGCCCCGCCGGAAGTACATTCTCAACCGAGACACGTCGATTTCGACCTTTTTACAAGACCCGCGCTCGCCGTGCTGACTCTGGAAAGTTTCCCAAAGCCGAAGTTCGAAACATTGATCGACTTCGATCGACCGCTTTGAAAATTTACAGCTACCGGTGCTCGCGTTACGCAGCAGCACGTTTTTAAATAGACGTTTCATGGGAAAACCGATACGAGGCGGGCTTGTAATTTTAGATAAATATTAAATTTAGATTGTCATAAATATTTCTGATCGGCCACTGCTTTCAGCGCGTTATGGACGCGTTGCTTAAAATAAGGACTCCTCCATCGTTTCGTGATGTCCTTAATATTTCAGTTCGAAGGAATAAAAATACAAGCTATACGATATTTTAAAATTATATAAATTGAGCGTCGAAGGCTCTTAATAAATATTATAAAATATGGAAAATTAAAATGAAATTAATTTCATTGTAAATAATTTATTAAATTCAGCATTGGAATTCTTTTTTAGCCCCCGTCAGATAGTAATTAAATGACTCGATAAAATTTAAGTCATTTAGATATTTGAAGAAATAGAATTTTTTCGAGAAGTATGAAAAGGTGACGTTTGCTTTGATCTTTATCCTGTTTCACGTTCGTTCGTTTCGAAGTCACGATACTCAGGGACAGGGAATGGGCGCGGACTTAGCCGGTCGCATATTTTTCCCCGTCGCTCGCTATAGTATTAATTCGTTCCGGTTCAAAAGCTAATCCAGACACGAGACTAACCCTTGTCCATTTTCTCTGTTCCGCTCCCCGAAATACGTCGATTCTACCCGGCGATACGTGACCGGGGATCCGAATCGTTTGCTCACTTTTCCCCTCTGGAATGGCAGTAAACGTTGCTGCGATGTTCTTCCGCGTTGCGTTTTATTTCTAAACGATTTAACACGGTCCACGATCCCGTACGAAAATTAATTCGATCCTACGATATATCCTCCCTTCGCGTTTTATCGCGAACTGCTCGAATAATCGTTCGAACGAATTTCTATTTAATGGGAACGAATGTTTATTCTCTGACAGAAAACTACGGTATATTTTGAAAAATCCGGTCGAGCAAATGTTTCAGTTTCCCCGGGGAATCCGAGTATTATAAGGCAAGAGGTTAAACAGGAGAAGTAAAATAGAGAACGCGAAAGCGCCGAGCAAGTACTCGAGATCGCGAGTTACTTCTTCCGCGGCGGCTCATAATCCCGCACGTTCCAATCCCCGATTCCCGGGGAAGACCAAACAAAAGCGGCGTCGCAGTCGTTCAATCTCGAAACTTGGATAAGTTAACCCGGGGGATCGAGGAACTCGTAACATCCTCTTAATTCGTGGAAGAAGACATGCGGCACCCCGAAGTCTTCGACGCAAGGGTGGCTCCTCTCCCGGGTACCTTCTCTAATAAATTCCATTAGCCATGGGCTCTTGGTTACGAAGGTCCCGATATTATGTTACGCGTTCTGACGTGGAGTTCTCAATGGGCGAAGCATCCATTACGCGAGGCCCGGTGCGACAACAACCGTCGAGGCCTGAGGTTCATTCAGCGGAATCCTTTTCTGGGCCACCGGGGGCCCCTCACGGTCCTTTTCTTCGGGCATTCTCAGCGGCTCGGGGTCCCTAGGACCCAGGACTCGAGGCTCGACCAGCCGAGGATAATTCGATTCACCGATGCCTCCTCGTTTTCCCTTTGCGGACGGTCCTCCCGTAACCTCTATAGCACGAGACTCATCCTGAACACTGGATTACCGGATACCGGTAGCTCCGAGCAGGTCTGACCCAGTCGTTCTTCGTTCTTCGTCCTTTGTACCCGTCTCTTTCTCTCGGTACGCTGTTGCGCTCCACCCTCGGTCTCCGTCGTTGCTCTTTTTCCCTCCTTTGACGCGCTACCCTGCGCACCGATCGACACCGGACCCAGAATAAAGGATCCTCCAAGTAACGACCGTCACAATGACTACTCCCGCCGATCTATTAGGAAGAATAACGACCCGGACACTTCTGCTCCGATGATTCAGTGAGAACGAACTGAGATTCTTTGTGATCGACTTAGGCGCTCGAGCCTGTCGCGCTAGCGGTTCGTGGATTTCGTGAGTGGAACACGGAAAGTCTTTTTCGTGGTCGTCGGAACGACAAGGGTTGCGGAGGACGATCAGATCGAGACGCTTAAGCATTAGAGTCCTGAACTGAGGACTTTTAAAAAAACGTATAAGTTTCTTTATTTTTGTAAAATAAAATATGGCGTTTCGTCTCTCAAAGTCTTCTGAATTATGCAACCAGACTCAAACCTCTCGTCTTCGATCCTTTCGAGACCACGTTCGAATCATCCCCTCCTCGTAGCCTTCCGTTTCGGTAGCGTCGCGACGTCGAGGAGATTTACATGTCCGGTGAAATTTGCTTCCCCGAGGGAAAACGTCGAAACTAAGAAACTCGAGTCGTAAAAGGGTCGAGTGCTCTTGATCGAAGCATCGCGATTAGACGTAGATTGGGAGTAAATCATTATTTCTCTTCTACGCCGCAGTTCTCCGTCCCTTCAACCCGTTCTCGCCTCCTCTGGTCGCCTTCTCTTGCTTCCTGTTGCGTTCGACGTCGGATATCAGGAGGACGTTCTTTACAAACGCAGCGGGGGGAAAAAAGGCTAGGAAGGATTCAGTTCATTGGTTAATAGTCGGCGTAGAAGAAGGAGCAAGGCTCGAATTTCACGCCGGTCACCCTATCCCCGGGTCTTAGGCTTGCTTTTTAGAGTGCTCGATACAATGAGAGACCGAGGTGCTCCGAATCCGAACACGGAGTGGGCTTATAATCGACTTAAGGATGCCGCCAACTGCTCCACTTTCCGTATCGATTCCCTGGAAATCTGAAAACGAAGGCCCTCGTCGACCATCCGTGAACCTAAACTCGCGGTACCGCTGCTCTCTGTGTGTATAAAGCCCTGATTGATGACTTTAAATACTCGACCCAAGATAGACCAACTGCGGGTATCGTCGTTAAATTAATAAAGATGCACTTTGACGAAAAGTAAGAATCAGTGACGTTCTTATAGTCGGGAAAATGTTCATTTCGCATCGTCGTGCACGGAAGAACGTGTCCCGCGATTCTGGGTCACTCTCATTCGTGATGATTCCTATAGCGGCGAAGAGCCTGGCCGTGTGAAACGTGCCTAATCGCGAGATCGGCTCAACCCTTTTGCCTCGGTGAAAATCGCCTGGCCACCTGCCCAGGATTACGCGTAGGCATTGTTCGCCCGTTGAATCTCGGAGAAAACCGGGTCCGGGTTAGGTAATCTAGACCACAAGGTTATTTCAACGATGGGGCGGCTTAACCCCGCGTGTTTTCTAATAATCGCGTTTCCCACCGTGCGGCAACAGCCCAAAATGGACGTTAAGTAACGAAAGAAAGCAAGGTTGCGTTATCTTTTAAGGATATATTATTTACAATAACACCGTGGCGACTGATCTGGTCATCTTCATTATTGGAAACCCCCGTTAACGATTATGAGTGATTTAGCTAAGCATACTAGACAATAAATACAGTCTAGGCTAAAACTGGCTCTTTGTACGCGAAATTGACCATCCAACCACCCATTTGCATATCGAAAAATATGTTTTCACACTTCAAATAGTAATAATATGCCTTCAGCGTGGGATCGAGTAAAAATAATGGTAGAGAAGATACATATTTACGGTGTAAAGACAATGTGCACGCTGCTATTAACCTAAGCTCGGCATCTGCGCTCCTAACGAAGTTTATAACCTTCCTCGGTTTCTGGAGTCGTTCCGCGAAGTTTAATAAACCACGACGAACTACAAAAGGCAGTCGTTATTTAAATGCATCGGGGGTAAGTCGAGGATCCCCCTGGATGTAGTTTCCCCCCAAGACTTCCTGGCAAAAACAGTAAACTTGCACGCCAATCGCTCCTTTCTATCGTCCAGTTAGATCCGCTTAATCGCGATGTAGAAAAAGACATATCCTCCGGTGATCTGCCGTACGTAAATCACACGTATCCTTTCCATGGTTGTTGCAGGGTGTTTGTTGGACAATTCGGCGCCGCGGGGCCCGCCCGATGTGCCACCCCGTAACCCTACAATGAGTCGCGTCAACGGAAGATTGCCAGGAAGTCACGCAGTCAGCGATCACGAGCGTGATCCCGACCTCCAGCCGTCCTGCCTCGTACGCACCCCATCCGGTGGCTTCTACAGTATACCAAGTGAGTCTTCGAGGTAGCCTGATTCACGGGGAGGAGGAAAAAGGGGGCCACGAACACGTGGGAAAAGGATTCTCCCCCCTGAGTCCACCCTTGCCCGTTCCGGGTTTGTCGTTGCTCGATAGTTAGTTTTGATCTTGTTAACGAATCCACTAGCTCGCGAAAAGGATAAAAAATGCCTCAGTCTACTAGATCTAGTTGATTCCAAAAACGTGTCAACGCAATAACGAATTTCTTATTAAAAAGGAGCTACTACTTCGTCAGTAAGTCAACCTTAGAGAAAGCGTATCGCCATATTTGTTTCTCAATTATCTGCAGTCGATAGCGTTCAGAGAATATCACGATTTCAGGATTCCAGGAAGATCGGTCGAAAGTTTAGGACTAACGGACGAGATAGGAATAAGTAAGAGCGTTCGACAAATGAAATTGAAAGGATAAATAGAGTTTCTGGGAAGAAAGTTGGTCGTAGTTCGGGGGAGGTGTGTCTGGTGATAACGTTGGACAGTGTATCATCGGGGACAGCAATAAGATGGCTTAGCCACGGGGAAGTGACTGGCGTCTCTGACGAGGGTGGTACGGAGCTGTAATCAGCGGTAACCAATGGTGGGCGGGGGTGCGATAATTTTCTAAAAGCACGTCCTTCTGGCTGTTATCTTATCGGCCACCCGGGACTCTCGAGCAGCTCTAGAAAAATTCTACCGTGCCTGGAACACGTTGCTTTCGTTGAGGATTCGGGATGGATTATTTGTAGAAGTATCTAGGACCAAAAGCCTCTTAGTTTATCTTCGAGGAACGGAGCGGGGCCCTGCTTCCTGGCGGAGCTTTTTCCGTGAAACACAGCAGCTCTTTTGTTCGTTGCTAGTCAAATTCTCTACTTTCATCGCAAGAAAGTGATTTCTTCCCCTACAATGGATCCCATTGAACGCAAAGGAAAACTCGAGTTTGCCAGTAACGATGAACCGTAAAATTCTCCGCCGGCGGTCGGGGTTCGAATGCACTCGACTGCGGAGAAAAAAATGTTTTCGAGACACTTTAGCACCGTGGGTATGTATCGTCCGTAGCGAAAACAACGAGGAAACCCAACCTTTTCGATGTTTCGAGTGTTCCCCAAACTACTCGAAGGAACCCGAAAAGCGGCCAACAGACAAGCTCCTTTCTTGTCCGTTCCGCGTTTAACGTGCCTGGGGACTCGAAATTTTCCACGGTCGAGCGTGCAGCAGGCGCCAGGGGCGACTTTTCTTAGCCCGACCGTGTACTTAACATTCCTTCACAAAGAACCTCGTTGCACTTCAAAGCCGCCCTTTCGAAAACGTGGGACGGTTCGAACGTTGATTTATGATCTCTCGACTTATTGACCCTTCGGTTATGACACTGTCCGACGCTTATGACCTCCCCGCAGAATGCTCGACTCCTCCTAAGGTCGATCTCCGCTCTCCCGTTTTTCATTCTCCCCGACTTTTCGACCCGCTTTGTTACTCTCTCCATCCATCGGCGAATGTCTACATTCTTTGCATTCTTATCCGCGAAATTCCACGGTGTATTCTTAATCGAGTGATAAGCGCAACACGCGACTTCTGATCCATTTCGTTTTACGTCGCGTTTGCCAAAATGGTTGTTGAACTGTTAACCCTTTGCACTCCGAATTATATTTCAATTTTGTTACCAGCAGCTCCCCGACACCTTCAAGTGTTTTATTTGAAATTTACCTGTTTTATTTACACTGTTGTTGTATTTTGTAATTTTCAAGTGTACGATATCTCTTTGGTTGTCGAATCACACTCGACATAGGAGTGCAAAGGGTTAAGTAGTGATATTTATTGATTAGAATCTGTCTAATTTAATACAAATCTAATCCAACGCAAAGTTATCGAATTAAATAGTCTGCAATCTATTGTGAAACTATAAAACGAGATTTCATCGTGTTCCTAGAGTTATTCCCTAGAGACAGCGACATCTAGGGGGAACTAGTGGTGTGGAATAAAAGCAGACATAACCTAGATCCCCTTTGGACACGATCACTGTAGTTTTGTCGATGTTTCGAATAAAATTTTGCCCGATGCATGTTATTGCGTTACGTCAACGATAAATCCTGCTAAGTGGCTGGGTATTTTCCAAGATCGTAAAGGTTCGCTAATTAAACGCGTGACTAGGAACCCCCCCCGTCAGGTTGGCTCTTCGACACCGCGAGCTGCATGGGAGTAAATCATCCCCGAAGCCGGCCATTAAAACCAATTCCGACACGCAACATCCCACCTTCTTGTTCGGTTCCGCGCATTAGGCGTCGTCTCGTGCGCCCAATAACCCGGAAAGGAAGTAAAAAGAAACCCGAACGGGGGATCCCTGAATCGGCCGTAATCACAGATATCTGCCTAAATGCCATAATCATCGGATTTCGGGGCAGAACGTTCGCCAACACCTGCAATTAGCGGCATGGGGTCCGCTTTTACGGACCTTCGTCTTCCCACGCTCCGATTTCATACTCCAGGTATCTACATGTAACGGGTGAAAGAGCAGGGATCCCTTCGAGGAAAGACAAAGGGCTGCCAGAGTACCAAAGTTGCGTACCCTTTACCTGTTCTCACCAAAAAACTACGAATAATGAGCAGAGGTGATAGGGCGAGAGATTTTGTTCAGTTCAGGATCAATATAGTAACAGTGAATGCATTTTATCGAAATTTATTTATTAAATAGAATGCACGAATACCTAAAAAAAGGGTCAAACAAAATTACTAAAAATCAGAAACGAATTTTTAAGAAACAATCGACTTTTCCGAGGACATTTTTAAATCGTTGGTCGGAAGAAATTGTGGATCGATTACGGGGGGATGGAGCGTGCGATCTTGCGGTGTTTCTAAGGTGTTCAGATTTCCTCGTGCACCTTTGCGGCCTGGTCGCTTGAAATTCAAACCGAAACCGCGATGAATCATGTACTTATTGATTCAACACGGGCCTCCGTTCGGCGTCTCGCTTCTTCCTCTTTTTCCTCGTTCTTCGTGTATATTGGGGAATACGGTCAAAAGAAAGGGCGTCGCGTCTGGCATGGCAAAACGCGCCACCGCGAGGCTCACGGAACGAATAAAAACAGCCGACTCTTGGTTAATTTATTTCCTCGTGGGTGCTCCGCCCCGTCTATACTACGTCTCTGATTATGTGTACCTTGCCAATTAGAAATCTGCGATAAATACATCCGTCGAAAGGCAGGTTGCAATTAAGACGTCGGCAGCGTCGTGGACTCCTCGCAAATCACGATTGTTTACGCGCAAATTAGAGAACGACAGCGATTTATGAATGATCATCATAGTCCGTTAAAACGTACTTTTAAATTCAACATTTCGCCAAAATTACATAAAAAAAAAGAAATAAGAATAGAGTGAATGAGTCACACTGGGGTTCCCCTTGTAAGCATACGTACAACGTGTTCGAAGAAAATACTGAATTATTGACAACACGGTGTACACGTTACTAAGATTCAAAGTTAGATTGCAAGCTTTTGCATTCCCGACGCGAGCGTCGGGCCGTCCAACGCGCGGCGTCGATGAATTATTTCGCAACGTGGACGGCGATGGGAAACATAAAGATATTTCACGGACAGGGGGGGTGGATGAAAGTCTCGGGGCGAGAAAGTAGGGCAGGCTTTCCCACGAGAAATTTCCGTCGATCTGCAACGTAACAAATTTCCTCTATCGTTCCGTTCTCTCTTTTTCGCAGAGATACCCAAGAATGAGTACAACAACAAGAATCAGTCCACGGGGAATAGTCCAATAAAGGTCGAGCTGCAGAACAACATGGAGAGGTAAGCCTATTTCATTTCCCCGGTATCGTATCGTTTCGTGCAACGGCTGGTCCTCGAAACGCGGACAAAAAAACGTGGAAACGCAAGAACGAGGCAACGAGACGTGGAAATTTCGTGAACGACCTGGTAGATCGGAACGAACGAACCGTGGCGACGGACATTGGTTTTCGTCGAACAATGCAGCGCACTCGACGGGCCTCGTGAATCATCTGGCGTAACACAATGAGTCGATGTTTGAAGATGAAGTGTCATCCGTCGGAGAACGGTTTTTGTCCACGCGACACCGTAACACCGTGGAAAATCGTGTTCCTTGGGCCCGCAGAGCGGCTTGCAACAAGGCCCCTCGAGTGTGCACTCGAAGTTTGCTAAACGGTCGTAAACCTCGCCCTGTGGGGGGTTGGTCCCCGTCTCGAGGAAAATCTTCTTTCGCGTAGCAACTGTGACTCCTCCAACTATGTTTTGACGGTTATAAAAACCGTACCTCCTATATTGGTCGAGTACTTGCGAGAAAATATATCCCTCTGCTGACGAATATAGGAGGTACACATATCTCAGTTATCTTCAGTCGATAACGTTCTGAGAATTTCACGATTCCACGATCCTAGAAAGATTGATCTATGCATCATTAGCAGAGACTTAATCCCTTGCACTTCGCTGAAATTCTAAACGAGCTCTAATATCGAGTTTGGCCCAAAATTTTTATCATGAGTCAGACTCGTGAAGATAGGAATCGAAGCCACGTCATGTTCGAGCCGCCTTAATTCGTACGTTAAATATTTAGGCTAGCCAAGCAAGACCGACCAGTGGGCTGGTAAGTTTGTGTGATTTTTGAAAGGGGGGGATCCCCGCGAAGACGACGATGCGTCTGGCTTTCGTTTTCCATTATCGCCGCCGATGCAACGAAAGCAAACAGCCGCCCTTCGCGCACGGGTACCCGCCCGTCCCGTTTAAATATTTTTGTTAGACGTTTCTGAGTTACTTGGAAGCACGCGATGTTCGGTATAAACACACTCCGAGAACCCGATGCTTTTGCGCGGAAAACACGTGACGGCCGCGAATATATTTCCTGCGTGTGCTCCGTTTTCTTTGAAATCAACGTTGCCCAGCCAGATTCCGCTTCAATCGTTAACCAGCAGTCTGGCTAATTTTTCGATCGTAAAACGTTCGTGCACGCGTTCGAATAAATAAATAAAGACCGTTTCGCCACCGTTGGCCGTTGCTCCGCAAAACGAAAACGATCGTATCGATGGATAATGGGATAATGAACGTTTTAAAATCAAAAAGATTTTAGAATATTTCCCTAAGTTAAACGCGAGAAATTTGAATTGATTTCAGAGTAAATTTACCGTACGGCCACGCGCCCTCGATGATCCCAATGAGGAGACAGAGCATTCGCTGCCACTTCGTGAAAGGGGTCGACTGGTGCAGCTGGAAATTAATTGCAATGATATTGCTTATAGTCTCGTTGTGCATAACAGCAGCGTTAGCCTATGTCGTAGGTAAGTAGTTTTCCAATTTATATTCAACGCGCGAGCATCTATGCAGATTAAATAAAGAACAAGTGTCTGGATGGAGTACCATTGAAACGAGCAATCGCTGTGACTTTCATTCAAACCAGTATCATTGTGATTCTATTTATCATTGATCATTAAAAATAGAGGAATTGTTTATACTATGTTGCAGTTTCCAGCATAGTAAGCCGGACTTATCACGGCACGAAAGCGTGCGAGGTGGACGAAAGCGCAGAGACGAAACCGTTGCCCGTCGAGGCGAACAAGACGTTCTCGACAGCGGTCGCGTCGTCGTCGCAAGCTAACAGCAGAACGGGTCAACAGGCGTCTCCAGGAGGTAGTATTAATCCGACGGTTAGCATGTTAGAGCACGTGTACGTCCGTAAGCGTAGAGACACGTTTAACCAGCATGCGTTGCACCAAACTGTCGTATACCCCGAACACCGCGAAGAGCCGGCGTCGTCGAGCGAGGCAACGGAGGATAGCTCGCGGTTGAACGAGGATCGTCCTGGTAGGGTTGTGCATGAAACGGAGCATGCGGATGGTCCTCGGTTAAAAGTGAACACCAGTCGTGAGGACAGGTTGCTCGGAGGCGTACTCGAGTCGTCGGGATCGACGGCTCCCCAGGGGACAATGCTTGCCGCGAATGTCTCTGACTCTTCGATTACTAACTATTCGCACGATCGTTCGACTCATACCACTGTCGCTGTCGACCTCGCCTCCACGTACCCTGCCTTTGTTGCCTCTGACCCTCCCGGCGATCGTTCGCTACCATCTTCGTCCTCCTCTTCCATTTCACTTAACGAACCTGCGGAGACCACGGAATCGACCTGGAACGAGGATCCAGTCACCGTCGAGATCGCGACGATCGATGCTAACGCGGAAGCCGCTCGAAGTTCAAAGGTCTCAGGGGGCCGCGTTAACCCGGGACAGGCGTCCTCGGTGGGCGTAGAATCGAAGAAGTTTGGCGAAAGCGTTAACGCCGAGGACGTTGCCTCGACTACGGTGAAAAGTCCGCTAAACGATGAGTACAGCAGCGTTGGTAGAGCAGAGTTTGTAGATAGGAACGTAGAATCGCTAGAAAATACCAAAGACGTAGACGCTACCACCTTTGCAGCAGAATCCTCGAGCGTAAGTACCGACTGGGCTGCGAACGATTCTAACGAAAATCCTGTACCACCGCAAGCGGAGGATGCAGAGACGAATTCTTCTGGTAATTTTTCGGACGTCGTGAAGGAGACGCAAGAACTCTCGCGCGAGGACTCGTCCCTCGAATCCGATGCTCCGTCGAGTCACGCGAACAGTTCCGAGAGATCCGAGGAGCTCCAGCGAGACTATCCGTTGCCGATTTATAATTACGGCCAGGACGAGATCGAGATCGTGAAGTTGGATCAGAAGAGCGAGTCGGGGACCACGACGAAGACGAAGCAACGCGGTTACGAGTCGACGAACGACGTCCACCGTTCGGGGCACCGGAACAGCGATCTGCGAGTAATCACCAGAGAAGAGAACGACGAGGAATTCATCCGGGAGTTCGAGAAAAAGTTTCACGACGCGTCGGGGGAATCGGATCGCGTGCTCGAGGATTCCAGCCCCGCGAGGAGCCACGATCCCTCTAACAAAGCAGACTCCGCGGAGTCTGGTTCGCCATTGATCCAACAAGTGAAAATCGTTGAGGTGCCGGTGCACCGTGATCGCGAGCCCTCGTCTTCGTCCTCGTCGTCGCACCGGGTGCTCGTGAACATAACAATCGCTTCCGGAGATTCGGGTTCCGCAGCCTCGAAGCCGCTTTACGTTCTCTCGGTCTCCGTGCCTACAAACGGCGACGCTGAAACGCACTCATCCGGGATGAACGTCAAACAAGTCGAGACACAGCCGCGCGAGACGGCTCGAGAGCCTGCCGGCAGCGTGGCGAACGTAGCGAATACCGTCGCGACGGAGGCGAACGATAATCGACTGCCGCCCCCGCCCCAGCCGCCCTCCTCGCCGCCCCCTTCGATTTGGGCCGGCGGTGAATGCGAATGCTCTTGCCCGTGCATGGGCTCGTCCTCCGACGAGTGGGACAACTTTTCAGCGAACGACGAGAGCCTGAATTTCTACCAGGAGACCGACAACTCGAGTCACTCGACGGACAAATCCTCCGAGCGTCGCGAAAAGACCGACGCCGTAGGGGCGGAGGAGCAGATCGAACGGAAAGAGACCCCGTCCGTGAGCTCGATGGATTCGGTAAGGGTAGACGTGACCTCGACCACCGAGAATCTATACTCCCCCGCCACTGAGGGGAATACCGAACCCACGGAATGGACTACCCCGACTTACGAGACAGAGTCGAGCACCGTAGGCATATCAGGGTGTTCTGGGACAACTCCGTTACCCCCAGAACCCACTATACTGATCTTGGAAGGTGAGGCGCCGTTTACGATTCTTTTCAAACCTTTGCCAACTATTAACACGATTTTTTTTCTTCTATTCTCTAACTCTGCTTGCTCTACTATGGCGCTTCTAGCTTCCCTTTCGCTTCTGCTATGTTCTTCGCTTGACTCAGTGTAGTTACTCGCGTTGTACAGTAAGTTCGTGATACTTGACGAAAACTCAGGGTCTGAATCTGAAAATTTACGAGGCTTCGAACGGGGGTTTCTACCATAACGCAAAATACTTGTACAGCAAGAGTTATTTTCGATTGAATAAGTGAACGATAGTCATCCTTATACTGCTAGGGGATTCCCCTTGAGAGACAACCAAGCTCAACGTCGTATGGACCGCTTAGTATAACCTGATCTGAGCTCGAATATCCGTGAGACTTTGATGAAACATTTTTATTTTTGTTTTTGAAACAATTCAGTTACCAACTTACTGTACACTCGATCTTCGTTGCCTGGAACGTTAATTGTAGCGTGTTTTGCGTGGTAATTGCTAGCGTAGACGTTTCTGTAACACTGTAACACGGTTTGGGTTAGGTGTGTAACATGGTCTAGGGTTAGGTCTGTAACATGGTCTCTCACATCGTAGCACAAACGTAATCGAGCCATTTTGTAATCTCACACACGAAATGTTATGGGAAACACAAACGATAGCGGTAACGAGAACTCGCTGAAGAATTTTTGTTTTCTAGAATGTTGTGTTCCTTTCTATAGTGATCTAGGGAAGAGATAGACGGTAAGGAAGAGAATATCGTTGTTGGAATCGTCTTAGCAAAGATAGAATGCATTAGAATCGTACAACGAAAATGAGCGAATTTGCAATTAACATTAGTCGATGCGAAATAATGCGAATCGAAACTTGTCGCGAAGCTACGCAATTTTTGAATACCTGTTTGCTTTACATTTGAACAGAAATAGTTTTCAATCAGAGAACTGATTGCTGGTGGACGGGAAATCAATTGTACTGATCCCTGACATTTCTAACTATCCAGGTGCGAGAACTTTCCCTGCCAGGTCTTTCCCACCTGACGGGACAACGTTCGCCCAGGTGGGCTTGGGGCAGAAGCTCAGCAAGGAGATTCCACCTTACAGCTACTGGAACATGCAATTCTATCAATCGGAGGCCGCGTATGTACGGTTCGACTATAACATCCCACGAGGTGCTAGCATAGGTGTCTATGCCAGAAGAAACGCTCTTCCCACGCATACGCAATACGATCTTCTGGAAGTGTTGAGTGGATTCAAGGCTAGGACCACTCGGGCGTCCCATGTTAGTGTCATTGTATGTGCCAGTGCCCCATTTTACTTTTTTCTTTCTCTCGATCGTAGACCTATGAACCAAATTCGTTCAAAGATTTATATTTTATTTTTTATTTTCCTAACTTTTCTTCGACACGAACGGAGCAACGAACTCCGGTGTTTTTATATTTGGAACTGTCGGTGTTTCGAAAGTCTTTTCTCTCTTTTTTTTTAATTTTTTCCCTTGGAAACGTATGGATCTGTAGTATGGGGCGCGTAAGAGATCTCAAAAACGATCCCCCTTGCAGCCTTCGATCAAGAAAGAGGTGACGCATTACATGGAGCCAGGCCATTGGTTCCTCTCGTTGTACAACGACGATGGGGATCCACAAGAGGTCTCGTTCATAGCTGTGATCGCTGAAGATATGACGCACAATTGTCCCAATGGTTGCAGCGGGAAGGGCGAGTGTCTTTTGGGCCATTGTCAATGCAATCCCGGCTTTGGCGGCGAGGATTGCAGCGAAAGCGTTTGCCCGGTTCTCTGCAGTCAACGCGGTGAGGAACAAGATGATAATTACGTCATAATATCATCAATTTTAACTTATATAACTTAAAGATCATTTAATCCTTCGACTATCACGTCATCCATGATGAATGACAGGACTTATGTAGGAGATTATGTAGTGTCTGGTCTGTCAGGCTTCTTGTTAAACGAAAATTACTTTGATAGTGATTAAAACTGTAAGGCTGTCGATACATCGCGAAGTAGAGTTTCTTAAGCTGACTGACAATCATTTTTGGTGTGAAATTTTTCGACAAAATTAAAATTTTCAAATCGTTCTGGAAAAATTATTTTTAGTTGCAGGGGTCAAATACAATCATTTTTGGTCAATAGACATACCCCCGAATTCCTACGCATTTCCGAGAAAAAAATTCGAGAAGGTGTGAAATTTTTCGAGAAAATTAAAATTTTCAAATCGTTCTGGAAAAATTATTTTTAGTTGCAGGGGTCAAATACAATCATTTTTGGTCAATAGACATACCCCCGAATTCCTACGCATTTCCGAGAAAAAAATTCGAGAAGGTGTGAAATTTTTCGAGAAAATTAAAATTTTCAAATCGTTCTGGAAAAATTATTTTTAGTTGCAAGGATCAATTACAATCAATTTTGGTCAATAGACATATCCCCGATTTCCTACGCATTTCGGAGAAAAAAATTCGAGAAGGTGGATAAATTGTCGTTCTACAGCCACACAATTTAGAACGTTAATAACTTTACAACGAAGCCTAAATCAACAAATTGCTATTCTTGATTTTCGTCTTATTTTGGCCTCTAGAATCCCCCATTAAAATTTCCCCCAGCAGATTGCACATAAAATCACTCGGTCATCCAGCAGAGGCGACACTAAGCGCGTGTTTTGCTGATTTAATCGAGCCCCAAATGCGCGGTTCCTCTTCTGACTCGTTCGACTGTATTATAGGGGAGTACATAAACGGAGAGTGCCAATGCAATCCTGGTTGGAAGGGGAAGGAGTGTTCCCTGCGACACGACGAGTGCGAGGTGCCCGATTGCAACGGCCACGGTCTCTGCGTAAACGGAAAATGCATCTGCGTGCACGGATATAAAGGAAAGTACTGCGAGGAGGAGGACTGCCCTCACCCCAATTGCTCGGGGCACGGTTACTGCGCGGACGGCACCTGCATCTGTAAAAAAGGGTGGAAAGGGGCTGACTGCAGCCAGATGGACAAGGAAGCGTTGCAATGCCTACCGGACTGCAGCGGACACGGGAACTTCGATCTAGAGACGCAGACCTGTCTCTGCGAACCGATGTGGTCCGGCGACGACTGCTCAAAAGGTAATAACACCTCTCCAAAACAACGTACGTACCTTGTCATTATAAATATTAGCTGTACAGGCGGTTGTGATCTGTCAATCAGTGATAAGTGAAAAGAACTACTATTCCAAGATGGCGATTCTTGCATTTCAATGATGGATACCTGTGTTTTCAGGTCTCCCAACGACGACAGTTTCCTAACGTGACGTTTCTAGAACCCTTTACTAAATGTTGCGCTTTTTTAATTCCTCTGTTGGTTAACTAGTTTGTCAGAAAATGTCCGTGTTTACGAAAACTAACAGCTTCGAACTCCTCAAGACGTAGCCTCGCGGGAGCATCGAGTAACTCGTGTTCCGTTTTTACGTTTTCCAGAGTTGTGTGATTTGGATTGCGGGCCCCATGGCCACTGCGTGGACAACGTTTGCGACTGTCTGACAGGATGGTCAGGTGACTTGTGCAATTTGAAGCAGTGCGATCCACGTTGCAACGAGCACGGCCAGTGCAAGAACGGGACGTGTTTGTGCGTGACCGGTTGGAACGGGAAACACTGCACGATGGAAGGCTGTCCAAACTCTTGTTCCGATCATGGACAGTGCAGAGTCAGTAACGATGGCCAATGGGAATGCAAGTGCTACGACGGCTGGGACGGCAAGGATTGCAATGTGCTCCTCGAGCAGAATTGCGGCGACGGAAGGGACAACGACAAAGGTACAAAACGCGACAGAAGGGAAACTTGTTAGCAGCCCGAAATCCTTCTGGATCATTAGACTTAAGGAAAAGGAACTTGCCAGGGCTCTGAATAGCTCCATTAGAGTAATCGTCTAGCGAACAGGGAAATGAATTCGGGAATATCGATCGAGCGAGGGCATTTAACCCCTTCGAACCGATACATGGTGTACGATGATATCTTAAAGACGATCATTTTGATGTGCAAATCATTTTTATTAATATCGTTACATCGTGCAATTTGCTCGAAACTAATTACTTCTTTTTATTTTTCAATGGCAGGTTTCATATCGATTTCGTCGTTGTTAGAATGACTGGCAAGCGAGAAGCAGTCCGTGACACTTTTCTAATCTGAAATGAATCTCCTGGGACAGTTCGATCGAGCGGTAGATTGTCATTCTCCGTGAATTGAGTCGATTTGCGATTTTAGCTAGCTTCGTTCCAGATTGGAAATGTGTCAAGATTGTTTCTCATTTACTAGTCATTCAAACAACAAATCAATATGGAACATGTTACTGAAAATAAAGGGGAACGAAACAGAAAGAGAATCACAAAATTGAATGAAAAGTCGTACAAGTTGCTTAGTTGTTCGCAGTCTAGACGCAAAATATGTGATTTCTCGAGTCAACGATCGATTCTAATCTCGATGCAATGTGGTCTGCAGACGGTCTCATCGATTGCGCGGATCCGGAATGTTGCGCGAGTCATGTGTGTCGTACCAGTCAGCTTTGCGTGGCTGCACCGAAACCGATCGACATACTGCTGCGAAAGCAGCCGCCGGCCATCACCGCGTCCTTCTTCGAGCGGATGAAGTTCTTGATCGACGAGGGCAGCCTTCAGAACTACGCGCGGCAAGAAACCTTCAACGAGAGGTGAGTTAGTAAAAAGCACGCCGCGTGCGATTCTTCTGCGTTCCGCCGATCGTTGTCGTTCGATGGATCCGATTACGTTCCGCGCGGATCACTTCGGAGAACTTATACGAGCGTCGACTGAACGTGTCCGTCCCGATTTTGATGTTACGTGTGTTGAATCAGATACACTTGGTTACAAAGAAAACAAATATACTCAGGGTGTTCGACCAAACCTGAGAAAAACTTTAATGGGAGGTTTTAGAGGCCAAAATAAGACGAAAATCAAGAATGTCAAACTCTTGATTGAGGCTTGGTTAAAAAGTAATTAATAAAATTAAATTAAAAAATTTCAAATCGTTCTGGAAAAATTATTTTTAGTTGCGGGGGTCGATTACAATCATTTTTGGTGAATAGACATACCCCCGAATTCCTACGCGTTTTCGAGAAAAAAATTAATAACTGAAAATTACATGTCTGACCATACCGTTTATATGTTTCCCTGAAATTTCATGAGAATATTTAAAACGCCATAACTTCCGAACGGATTGGCGGATTCTAATTTTTAAAAAAGCAAACTACGCGTATTTGAGTGAAGAATATGTAGAAATGACAAAACTATTCGAAAAGTTATTTCTTCACCCCATAAAATGAGGAAAACCCCATAAAAATAGTCCAATTCTGAAACAGCCATAACTCCTACAACAGGGAATATATTTTAATGAAACTTTTTTCTGAAGTAGAGCTCATAGGTAGCTACCAAAAAGTATTAGACAACTTTTCTGTAGGACGCCGAACAAAACTATTAAAAATAAAAAACGAAGTTTCAAGAAAAATCGACAGGATAGGTGCCTCAATATTTCGGCGAAAAAAAACAATTTCCAATCGTTCCAAAAAAATTATTTTCTGTTGCGGGACTAAATTACAATCATTGTTGGTGAACAGACATACCCTCGAAATCCTACTCACTTTCTAGAAAAAAATTCGAGAAGGAGTGAAAGTTTTCGACAAAATTAAAATTTTCAAATCGTTCTGGAATAATTATTTTTAGTTGCAGGGGTCAAATACAATCATTTTTGTTGAATAGGCATACCCCCGAATTCCTACGCGTTTTCGAGTGAAAAATTCGAGAAGGTGTGAAAGTTTTCGACAAAATTAAAATTTTCAAATCGTTTTGGAAAAATTATTTTTAGTTACAGGGGTCAATTACAATCATTTTTGGTGAATAGACATACGCCCGAATTCCTACGCACTTCCGAGAAAAAAATTCGAGAAGGTGGATAAATTGTCGTTCTACAGCCACAATTTAGAACGTTAATAACTTTTTAACGAAGCCTCGATCAACAAATTGTTATTCTTGATTTTCGTCTTATTTTGGCCTCTGGAATCCGACATTAAAATTTTTCCAAGGTTTGGCCTAACATTCTGGTATACAGAAAACTCGGTAGTCCACCCAGACACGAACACGTAGCATTTAATAAATGGGTGTACGACCGAAAAGAATGCATGTGTTGCGGGACGAGTGAAGGTTATTAAGACTATCGCGGTCCCACGAATGATCAATCGTGCCTACCTATGGGCTTAACGGGCGACTTAGAATATGAAAACGCGTACGAAAAACCCTGGGGGCCCGGTAATCTTTAACTGGCTCGACGTATACGGGACACATGCATACCACACGTCTTATATACATTCTCGTCCGTACACGATATACAAGACACGAAGACGTATACATAGATATGATATATTCTCTGCGTTGTTGTAACCCGTGTGAAATCACATCCCAAAAGTTTTATACATATGTTTGTACGTACGTGTGCGCGAGCGTGTGCCCTGCACTGAACCCCGTCTCCATTCTCACTATCATTCTCTATTTCTTCTTCGCCTATATCGCTATTCTACTACATTATCGATCTTATTGATATACGTATAATCGTCTCCATTCTTTATATATACATACATATATAGAAATATATTTTCTCTCACGTGTCCGTCCGAGTGGAGCTTGCGTGAATGTGTGACTTCATGTTCGAGCCACGAGCTTTGCGCCCATCATACCGATCAACGAGGAAACGATTCTTCTAACGAATCAAAATTTTTATCGAAGACCAGAAATTCTTCTTACGTTCGCTCCTACGATCTTCCGTCCCGGATCTCTCCTCCTTCACTCCCCCTTTCTTACATACTTCTCCTATTCTCTTGCTCTCACTCTACATACATATATAATATATATATATATCTCTCTATCTATCTTCCGTCTAGTTTTGCCTTTAATCACATCATTTTAACTCGGTTCTGTTTTATCCGTGCTGCCCGGTCAGTATGTTCTGGAATCACTTCAACACAAGGTAAGAAACTACGACGACGAAGCTCGACTATGACGAAAAAGAAAAGAAAAAGAAAAAGAAAAAGTAAAAAAAAGAAAAAAAGTAACAAATCGGTTGCGAGTACAGTTCGTTGGTAGAGTGTAAGCGGTTAATAGCTGCTGCTGTTTGACGATATTTTCGTGCATATTTGGTATCATGTGTACATACTTCCTGCATCCGACTGCAAATAAAAAAAAAAATAAGAGAAGACGAGTTGCTCGTGCGCGGTCAGTCGCATTCGAGATCGAGCCTCTTCACGATTTTTGCCGGCCATCGATCGAGTCCATCAATGATTGCCGACAAACGTAAGAAGAACCTCTCCCTCGAACGTCGTCGACGCGCCCGCGCGACCGTTCGAAAAGCTCACAACACACCCCTTTCGTTCCTCGCCATTGTTCGACTCTTTCTCGTTGCATGGTTTGGTTACCTTATTATTCCTACGTTGTCTTTCGTGCCTTTTAAGTTAAGCTTCTGACTTTGTGTTATTTGTGTATATGTACATGTATATAAATATGTATTACTAGCAATCTGTGCTCGGGCGACGTGTTTCGGGCGTGAAAGGGACAAAAGTCGAACGCGTTTCGAATTCGCCTCTTCCATCGCCCAAGCTAGACCGCCTCGAGTTAATTCTATCACGAGTTCGAGAACTTTACACGCACGGAATACCAGATTTATCGAACGAACAAGTACTGTCGCGTCCAACGAGCATTAGGGACCACTGTGCAGATCGTTTTGGATCGTTTATTACTCGTATTGGCTCGTAAATTACATTTTTGCAGTCGTATTGTCCGGTCTGTTGGTTCGAGACCTTGTTCGACGGGTAACATAACTTTTTTCAATAATTCTAGTCGCTATGGATGGATGGAAATCGATGGACTCCGTAAATTAAATGTTACAAAATGGAGCATCCGTAGGTATAGTGCAAGAAGCTACGAAGAATGCTTCTGAATAATCTGTTCAATAAACTGTTGCAATAAACTCCAGAACTCGCCAATAGAGGGCTACGCTCTCTCACAAGTGCTCGACCTATATAAAAGGAAGCCACCACAGTAGATTTCGAACTCGATAGAGCTAATCAGAGGCATTCTATCTAGCTCATACATAATCTATATCATAGTTTCGTCTCGAATGGTTCGTGCACGACAGTACATTTTCGTTTAACGAGACTTTCACTTGTAAAACACAGTAAGACGACGTACGAACGGAGAAGTAATACTGTCGTAGAATTGGAATTAGATTAGATGATAGCCAGTTTGCTTTGTTGTTAGCGTGCCACGGAGCACTGTGGAAAGAAACGATCACATTAGTTGAACACGAGCGACGTGGTCAGCTACCGGATGATTAATGTTATTATTTCCTGACAGCCGATCGGCGGTTGTACGTGGTCGCGTTGTCACGCATCTCGGCACCGGTTTGATGGGAGTAAGAGTTAGCACCAGCACGCCGTTGGAAGGATTTACTCTGACGAGAGACGACGGATGGTTTGATCTACTGGTGAACGGAGGCGGTGCCGTCACCTTGCAATTCGGCAGGTCACCCTTCAAGCCCCAAAGTCACATAGTCTTTGTACCCTGGAACGAGGTAGAATCACATTGAATAACTGTCATCGTCTTCTTAAGGGATCTGTCTAGTTTGGAGATACGGAAAAAGAATCCTTTTCAAGGTTCCAAGTTGTCGATTGGTCTTTGAATTAGAAAGACTGATCGACATATCTGGAGACTCGGTGTTGACAAAATTTTGTTAGAATAATAGGTAATACTGAAGGTCTATAGCATTTATTTATAATGTTCCTCCAACAGAATACAGAAGATTTGATGGAAACATCGAAGTCGTTTCTTTATTTAGATCCAGAGAACAACCACATCACCTAATTGTTGCAGCTCCAAAATAAACAGATCCCCTAACGACATCGTTTTACTGTATGAGGCATGTAAAGCATGACAGTTAAATATACTCAAAACAAACGATAATATAAAAAATAATACTGTAATCTCTAATTTTGAAAATAATCAACTAACACGCTCTGCGTGCCTCTCCTCGTGTGGTCGTAGGAGTTTTAAGAAGTCTAAGTAAAATTCTGTTCGTTGAAGGTGGTTATCATCGACAATATCATAATGACTACCGCGGAGGAGAAGCAACCCAGCCACGTTCCGCACTCATGCGCTGCCCACGATTACGATCTGATGAAGCCCGTGGTCCTGGCGACGTGGAAGCACGGTTTTCAGGGAGCGTGTCCCGACAAGAGCGCCATTTTGGCAGAGTCCCAGGTGATTCAGGAGAGCCTGCAAATCCCTGGTACGGGATTGAATCTCGTCTACCACAGCTCCAGAGCGGCCGGGTATCTATCCACGATACAGCTGCAGCTGACCCCGGAGGTCATACCGCCGTCCCTAAATTTAATCCACCTGAGGATCACGATCGAGGGCATACTGTTCGAGAGGACGTTCGAGGCTGATCCGGCGATAAGGTTCACCTACGCGTGGAATCGACTGAACGTTTATCGACAACGCGTTTACGGCGTCACCACCGCTATGGTGAAGGTGGGGTACGAGTACAACGACTGCAAAGACGTGATCTGGGACGTGCAGACGACGAAACTCAGCGGCCACGATATGTCCATCTCCGAGGTCGGTGGATGGAATCTGGACATTCATCACAGGTACAATTTCCACGAGGGGATCCTGCAGAAGGGCGATGGTTCGAACATCTACCTCAAACAGAAGCCTAGGGTAATTCTCACGACTATGGGCGACGGGCTCCAGAGACATATGACCTGTATGGAGTGCGAGGGACAGGCTTCCAAGCAGAAACTTCTAGCGCCGGTTGCTCTTGCTGCGGCTCCCGATGGCTCCCTGTTCGTCGGTGATTTCAATCTAGTACGAAAGATACTCGTCGACGGAACTGTCAGGACTGTTGTTCAACTCAAGTAAGTCTCATGCCCGAAGCTGTTTGCACAATTTGTTCGAGGATAGTTTAATTCGCCCCTCTTTCTTTCAGCGCAACAAGAGTTTCGTATCGGTACCACATTGCTCTGAGTCCACTGGATGGCTCCCTGTACATATCTGACCCAGAGTCTCATCAGATCATTCGCGTACGCGACACCAACGACTATACAGATCCCGAACGTAATTGGGAAACGGTGGTCGGGTCCGGAGAACGATGTCTTCCTGGCGACGAGGCCCATTGCGGCGACGGTGCTTTGGCCAGAGACGCCAAGCTCGCGTATCCCAAAGGCGTCGCGGTGTCTGCCGACAACGTCCTCTATTTCGCGGATGGCACGAACATCAGAATGGTCGACAGAGACGGTATCATCACCACCGTGATCGGCAATCACATGCACAAATCCCACTGGAAGCCCATACCCTGCGAGGGTACTCTGAACGTGGAGGAGGTTCATCTCCGTTGGCCCACTGCGTTAGCGATCAATCCTCTGGACAACTCGTTGCACATGATCGACGACCACATGGTGCTTCAGTTGGCCCCGGATGGTCGAGTGAAGGTGGTCGCTGGTCGTCCCCTTCACTGTGCATCCCCATCGGTTTCGTTCGACACGGAACTAGCGACTCACGCTACTCTGGTGATGCCACAGAGTATCGCGTTCGGTCCATCCGGTAATCTGTACATCGGTGAGAGCGACTCGCAGAGGATCAATCGGTTACGTGTGATCGGTACAGACGGCAAGATCTCGCCATACGCAGGCGCGGAGTCGAAATGCAACTGTTTGGAACGTGGCTGCGACTGTTTCGAGGCCGATCATTACCTGGCGTCCACCTCCAAGTTCAACACCATATCCGCGGTGGCTGTGTCCCCTGACGGAGTGGTTCACATAGGCGATCAGGCGAATTACAGGATTCGTTCCGTGACGGCGAGCATACCGGACGCGAGCGGCGCTAGGGAATACGAGATTTACTCGCCGGACACCCAAGAAATCTACGTGTTCAACAGATTCGGCCAGCACGTCGCCACCAAGAACATCCTGACCGGTGAGACCGTCTACCAATTCACGTACAACGTGAACACCAGCAACGGCAAGCTGAGCACTGTTACGGACGCGGCTGGCAACAAGGTGTTCCTCTTGAGGGATTACAGCAGCCAAGTGAACTCGATCGAGAACACGAAGGGACAGAAGTGCAGGCTCAGAATGTCCCGGATGAGAATGCTCCACGAATTGAGCACACCCGACAATTACAACGTCACGTTCGATTATCACGGACCGACCGGGCTGCTGAAGACTAAATTAGACAGCACCGGCAGGAGCTACGTCTACAATTACGACGAATTCGGCAGGCTAACCAGCGCAGTTACACCGACCGGAAAGGTGATCAGCCTGACCTTTGATCTCAGTTTGAAAGGCGCGGTCATTAAGGTCGGGCAAAATAACAGGAAACCCATCTCGATGCTGATCAAAGGATCGTCGGTGGTTACGAAAGTTGGAGAAGCGGAACAAAGGACTACAGTTCTCGCGGATGGATCCGTTGGTCAGGTCACGCCATGGGCTCATACAATCAATACGGACACCATGCCGTACACGGTCCTGGCTGAAATCGAGCCGCTGTTAGGCGAAAGTTATCCTGTTCCTGCCAAACAGAGAACCGAAATTGCCGGCGATCTGGCGAACAGATTCGAGTGGCGATACTTCCTGAGAAAAGTCCAAAGCAACAAGAATCGAGGCAACTCGAAGCCCGTCGTCGCGCAAGTGGGTAGGAAGCTTCGCGTCAACGGGGAGATTCTCCTGTCCCTGGAATACGACAGGGAGACCAACAGCGTGGCGGTGTTCATGAACGACGTGGAACTTTTGAACGTCACTTACGACAGAACGGCTAGACCGATCAAATGGGGACCAAGGAACGGTATCTTCGCTGGCGTGGAACTCGAATACGATCGCTTCAGCAGACTGACCAGCTGGACCTGGGGAGATATCAGCGAGACCTATGGTTTCGACAGAGCTGGCCGATTGTACGAGATCAAATACAGCGACGGCACGTCCATGGTGTACGCGTTCAAGGACATGTTCAGCAGTCTTCCGTTGAAAGTGACAACACCCAGGGGAAGCGATTATCTGCTGCAATACGACGAGGCTGGAGCATTGCAGTCGTTGACCACCCCGCGAGGACACATTCACACCTTCTCGCTGCAAACTTCCCTGGGATTCTACAAGTATCAGTATTACTCGCCCATGAACAGGCATCCGTACGAAATTCTGTACAACGACGATGGACAGATTCTGGCCAAAGTGTACCCCCATCAAAGCGGCAAGGTTGCTTACGTTTACGATCACACTGGGAAATTGGAAACTACTCTTGCTGGTGAGTGATAGATATTTGAATATACACATTTGATTTAAGCTACTGTCTCCAATCAATTCTTTTTCTCTCTCTGCAGGGTTGTCTTCGATCCACTACACGTATCAAGAAACGACGAGTCTGGTCCACAGCATCGACATCAACGAGCCAAACTTTGAGATGCGAATCGAATACAAGTATCACGCTGGTATCGTCAAAGATGAGAAGATCAAATTTGGTAGCAAAAGCGGTCTGGACAATGCACGGTATCGTTATCAGTACGATGGCAACGCGCGAATATCTGGCATCGAAGTGGACATTAATGGCAAACAGCTTCCTCAGTTACGGTTGAAGTACAACCAGAATCTCGGTATACTGGAGGGCGTCGGTGATCTCAGGGTGTACAGGAACCTGTTCAACAGATCGGTGATGCAGGACAGCAGCAAACAGTTCTACACCGTCACGGATTACGACGAGCACGGTCGCGTGAAAACGGTACTCATGAACATTCGCACGCTGGACGTGTTTCGTATGGAACTCGAGTACGATAATCGAAATCGCATCAAGATGAGGAAACTGGCGATCGGTAAAGACTCGAAAATGGAGAAGATCACGTACAACGCGGATGGTCACGTGCTGGAGGTGGCTGACACGGAGAACAATTGGCAGTACGCGTACGATGAAAATGGTAACGTGATCGGTGTTACGAGAGGGCACAACGAGAAACTCGCGTTGGGGTACGACAGCGGGGACCGTGTCATTCAGTTCGGTGACGTTGAATTCAACTCGTACGATGGACGAGGATTCGTCGTGATACGAGGGGAACACAAATACAGGTTCGTTGAACTTTTAGTTACGTTTAAGTCGTTTAATGTTCGTTAAAATTCATTGTAATTCATTGTGTTGTACAGGTACAATTCCCGCGGGCAATTGATCCACGCGTCGGAGCACAAGAAGTTCCAGATATGGTACTTCTACGACGATCGCGGACGATTGGTCGCCTGGAACGACGATCGCGAGAACATCACACAGTTCTTCTACGCGAATCCAAAGACGCCGGACCTGATAACACACGTCCACTTCCCGAAATCCGCAAAAACCTTCCGGTTCCTCTACGATTCCCGCAACTTCTTGATGACGGTGGAGACGTCCGAGCAAAGGTTCTACGTCGCGACGGATCAGAACGGCTCTCCCCTGGCGCTGTTCGATACAAACGGGAATCTGATCAAGGAGATGAGACGCACACCGTTCGGGAAGATAATCAAAGACACGAATCCGGACTTCTATTTGCCCATCGACTTCCACGGCGGCCTCCTCGATCCCAACACCAAACTGGTCTACCTGAACAAGAGGTTGTACGATCCAACAGTTGGCCAATGGATGACCCCCGCCTGGGAGCAAATGGCGAACGAGCTCACCACCCCCACCGACATCTTCATCTATCGTTTCCGGAACAACGATCCGATCAATTTCAAACAGAACGTCGAGTACATGACGGACCTGGCCAGCTGGCTGAAGCTATACGGTTACGACATGTTCGCGATACTAGGCTCCGAATACATGAAGCAGATGGTGTACCAACCCAGCGCGATGATCACGTCGCCGCAATTGACGCCAGAGTTCGGTGTGATGTCCGGACTGCAGTGTATCGTAGACCGCGTTCACGAGAAGTTCTCCGATCTAGGATTCGTACCGAAGCCTCTGCTTAAATTAGAGCCAAAGACCAGAAATCTCCTTCCGCGAGTGGCTCATCGTCGCGCCGTCTTCGGCGAGGGTATCTTGGTGTCGCGAATCGGTGGACGAGCGCTCGTCAGCGTCGTGGACGGGGTGAACAGCGTCGTGCAGGGCGTCGTGACCTCCGTGTTCAACAACTCGTACTTCCTGCCGCTGCACTTCAGCGTCCACGACCAAGACGTGTTCTACTTCGTGAAGGACAACGCGCTGAAGATCCGCGACGACATGGAGGAGCTGCGTCGACTGGGTGGGATGTTCAACGTGTCGACACACGAGACCACGGAGCACGGGGCTGGCACGTGGAAAGAACTGAGGCTCCACAATCCGGATGCAGCTGTGGTGATCAAGTATGGCGCCGATCCAGAGCAGGAAAGGCACAGGATACTGAAGCACGCTCACAAGAGAGCGGTCGAGAGAGCTTGGGAGATCGAGAAGCAGCTGGTGCTGGCCGGTTTCCAAGGCAGAGGAGACTGGTCGAAGGAGGAGAAGGACGAGCTGATCAGTCGGGGCACCGTGAACGGGTACGAGGGTGTCGACATCCACAGCGTGCACAGATACCCCCAGTTAGCCGACGACCCTAGCAACGTGGCGTTCACCAGGGACACGAAGAGAAAACGACGGAAGAGCGGTAACAAACGCAACAGAATCCACAGGCACGACTCGTGATTCGAGGATGTGACGCGAGATCGTAACGCTATTTGGGACTTGGTTCACGCACCCACGTGAATCGCGCAGCGGACAAAACGTAAGAAAGAACAATGAAGAGAGACAAGACTAACACGTTCATATTACATTCAGCCGTAAAAAAAAAAAGAAAAAATGGTTCGTCGAGACACCGCGCGTATATGTGCCCGTCGTTCGCGTCCATTAATATCCACCAACCTCCCCCCCGTCCCCGTAATTTTTCTCTGTTCTCCTCTCCGTCGCACTCGTAAAGGAGGAACGAAGTATGAAATTGAGATATGTTCGCGAGGTGCTGTCGATTATGTTCTTTTCCTCACCTACCAAAACCCCCGCTCGGTGTGCCATAATAGCGTTGCTTGCGATTCAACCGTTCGAACCGTCTTTAGTTAACGACAGCACGATCGTGGGCGTCCCCCCGGAGTTCCGATAACCAAAACGTCACCGGGGTTTCCCCTCTGGAGGGCGGAACGGATCGCGACGTGTCGAAAAGAATTATCGAGCTAGTCACAATTATATACGGGAAACGGGAAACGCGTGAAAATGGTTTGTTCGCGCGTGATCAGGGGGAGAGACAATTCCTCGCGAAGGGAGATCTCGAGGTGCGCGCGCATACGAACTTTCAAAGGTGCCGTCCGTGATGAAATCCGACGAAAGACGAGTGCGTGAAAGAGAGAGAGAGAGAAAGAGAGAGAAAGAGGGGATAAAAAGTACTCTCGTGTTCGTTGAAGAGTGTCGATCGAACTGGTGTTCTCATGCAACAGGGTCTATACGAACGTTGCCGTGTACGTCGCCCGTGGCGAGTTTAATAGGGAAAACAAAAAACGAAGAAAAAAGATACGTCGAGAAGGAAAAAGAAAAAAAAAAATATACAACAGATATTTTTAACATGACGCGATGGTGTGCTAGCGCGAGGCGAGCGAATTTGTAAATATAGCTACTCGAGTAAACGTAACTGTAGATATTATAACATACGAACCGGTAAACTTAAGTGGAAACTGTCGATAATGCTTTTATATATGTATACATATACACGGAACACGTCTCGCGTATTAAAAAATGAAAATGATGAGCGATGCATACGGACAACACATTTCACACGAATCCACCGACAGTGCGCGAAACATATGCCCGATGCGTAGGCGAGAAATGATTTGTAGAATTTTGTAACGTGGGGAAGAGCTAAGTTTCTTAAAAAAAACGAGGGATTTGGTCGATATTCGTTTGTGCTCAGGTTTACGCGCGTAATCTCCGGGTTCGCGACAGAGTAATACTTGCGTTTGTCCCGTTTCGAAAGGGGGGTTTTGGTGTCTGTTCGGGGTCGAATCGTCGATCGTTCGGACTCGGAATGAAATTGGAACGATTCGGGACTCCGACCGTAGATGCAACGTGTAAATAGTTTGATATGTATGAAACGTTTGCGTGTCGTGCAGGCTATATAATCGGCGAGAAAATTTGTAACGATGTTGTACGTGTATGCCCTCGTATCAGTACATCGCGTGATCCGGTTTTACGACGATGACGCGACGTAACGAGACAAGCAATAGACGAGGAAAAGTTTCGCGATGGAGAGACGGGGTCGAGTAATAGCATCCGCAAGGAATAATTATATAATAATAACGATAATAATGATAATATAATAATGAAAATAATAATAATGAATAGTAATAACGATATGATAATACGAATACTAATAATAGTAATAAACTAATAAAAAGGAATAATATTAATATAACGATAACACTATTGTATGGAAATACCCCGCCTATCTTTCTACTAAAATTGAAAAATTATTTTTTGAATTGTGTCGTCAAAGATGTCCTGTGTCCTGAAAAACCGTGTGTCTGTGGGATCGCCCCATAGAAATTACCCACCCCCCACACCCCCCTCCTCCTCCCTATCAAAATACCTTTAAAATCCTCCTCTCTGTATAAGCATAACTGAAACTCGTCGGTGTTTATCAAATATCGGATAAATGAAAAGTGGGAAAAAAAAACAAACACACACACACACACGCGCGCGTACTTGTAAGAAAAATGTAGATCGAGCTCTGTGGTTTGAATCAAAGTGGAGTAATTGACATAGAAAGTAAAGACACTAAAATAAAAAAAAAAAAAAAAACAAAACTAAATGCGATATAATTACGTACGCGGTATAATAATACATAGAGAAATAGCGGGCCAACGTGCGAGCCGCGTCGCTCGACCACGTTGTGTTCCAGGTAGTTTGTACGGTGGATTTAAAGCATAAACACATAATCATAATTACAAAAGTAACGTACTAGTTGACGAGTTAACGAGGAATTTAGCGAAAACGTAAAAGAAGAAAAAAGAAAATGAAAAAACGGTTTAAGAGTATGCTGGCGAACGTAAACGCCGCTGTACATATCTGTTGTGTATAGCCAGTATATGCCATAAACCCACGCAAGTAGTGTTCGCGCAAGAAGGAATGCATTTTCTACGAAGTAACGGAGACCGACGGTCAGACAACGTGTGTTCCCGTTTATCGCTGCCATATTTTTCTCGATCGATCGTTGTCGATTTGGCGTGACCGTTTTTTCTCTCTCGTAAACGCGACAGTTCCATTTCTGTTTATTGAACCGTGCCCCCCACCCCCACCCACCCCTCCCTCGTCCGCCATATTGGTTCAAGCGCGTCGAACGACCGTGTCGGGGTTCCCCTTGGACCGGTGAGACGCAGTCCGAGGTAACACGAGGCATATCAATCTGTGATTCACCGTTTTCAATATCCAATACCGCGAACACGAAACCCCTCTATACGTGCACCGGATTTACAATCGTTCTTGCATCAAAGATAGCCCGACCGTTGCAGCCATTTACGGCCTCGGTCTCGTCTCACAACGTGTTCCCGATTGCATGGTTTTTTTTCTTTCGGATTACCATCTTGATCGTTTCTCTCTCCAGAACACGAGAGAATACACGGTTCGAACAATTTTAGATCGATGGAGGTTACTAAACTGAGTAAGAGCACACCCAGGCGTTCGTTTATCAATCATTTCCACCCGTGGACGGTCATTTTACCAAACAAGTTCCTTGCGATCAATTCAGAAAATTCTATCGAGTTGTTCTTTTCAAATTGTGCTGTTTGAAAACCACAATTTTTAATTCGAACATTTTGTCATTAAAGTTTTTAGAGATAAGAAGATCTTTCCTCGCAAATAAGATCATAAAATTAAAAAAAGAAAAATAATACAGACTGGTTTTGCGACTGTCGCTGAATTCGAGGAATTCCAAAGAAGAACATTTAATATTTTAATAACGATAAGAACTATCTGAAACCAATGTAGATCGAAAATAGTATGAAAATCATTGATATCGATTTTTCAATTTTGTACTGTTTCAAAACATGATTTATGCTAGTAGTTTTCGAGTTTGAACATATCTATCTGATCGCTGAAGGTCAGTGAGTTGTTACACCCACCACCCCGTCTGATTGCACCGCAAAATGGTGGTAGGAGCATAAGTTCACGATCGAAAAAGTGGTCTCAAGCTTCAAATCGTGCGTTAACGAATAAAGAACAATTGCAATTAAATTAAAAATTAGTATTTCGAAAAGACTGATTCGCTGTTCTACGTTGAATACCTTTTACTCAGTTTAGAAATTCTTGCACGCCAAAACACTGCCGAATCCAACTGTTTTTCTAACACGCGTATTTCTAGAGATACTTGTCTGATTTGTCTGTTAATTCGCCGTTACCTACCATCAGTCGCGCGACAGCGTGTCTTAAAAATGCTCAGCAAACAGTGTTTCTGTATGTATTCGTTCGTTCGCGAAGCGCCGCGTAAGGGAAACAAGGGAGAGAGAAAAAGAAACAAGAGAAAGAAAAAAAAATGATACGACGTTTAGAAAGCAGTCCTGTACTCGTGTTAACTTTACGCTTAGCGCATCCTCGCCTTCGGGCGAGCAGCGCCGCGAGAATTCTGAAATAAAGAGAGAGGCGATCATAAAATACGTCCAGGCCGTGTGCGCATTCGGTTGTGTCAAGATCGATATCGATTCTGTCGATACCAGTTCAGAGATTTCGATTTAGTATCGACCTCTTCTCGTGGAAGGACGATACTTTAGAATAGATCTTTCACTGCACATCGATACCTATTTGATACTTAATAGGCGCCCAACACTTAATACTTACGCAACGGCCTAGGTTTCATTACTCTTATACAGGGTGTCGCAGGTTTTAACTACTAATAAATAAATTTAAATGACAAAAAAATGTTGAAAAGTACAAAAGTCGTTTATAGCATTGTTTGAAGATTTGGTGTACTGAATTAATATTGAAATTTGGTGATCGATGAAGTATCTTCGATACATATCGATGCTGGATCGAAATTTATAAATTGCTATCGAAGAGAATGTAGTATCGGTCTTGACGTAATGTATCGATACTTTCTATCGAGTATTTTGTTATCAGATTGATTGGATATGATGAATAGTATCGGTATCGATCGATCGCTGGTGTTTTTTAACAGAATTCTCGCGGACGCTCGGAGGCGCGTGATCTATTATTGTTACGCTCGACACGAATCTTCACCGTCGACGGGAAACCGTCCGCTGTGGCTCGGTTGGAGGGCGAACCGCGATCGGCACGTGACTAAATGAAAGCAATACTTCGTAACTATCGTGTATGTCTTAAAGGATCTAATGTGTCGGTGAAAAGAGAGCGCGAGAGAATCAAGAGGTGAACGAAGAGCATTACGTGAGAGAGAGAGAGAGAGAGAGAGTGTGCGTGATAGAGAGCGAAAGCTATTACGATAAATTAATATATAACGAATTGTGTTAAACGATAGCCGGGAAGGGGAGAAGTCGTACGCATTTTTTATTATTTTTTTTTTTATATCGTCAACGACCGAAACTCGGCCGCTTTGCGTCGCCGACGATGGCGACGGGGGAACCATTCGTTCGTAGCCCGGGTGTGTCTCGTTGCGTTTCACGTTTTTTCCCCGCGGCGATTGCGTGTCGCTACCTTTTTGTACATAACGAAAATCCCGAATTACGTTTACGTTCGCGTTGTCGGTCGCTGCGTGGCACGAGACGATCGGAGAACACTTTTCTATTGCTCACGAGGGGTAGTTTTCAAGTGGATCGGACACACGACGTGTCGAGGATCTCTAGGGTATCCGTAATTAGCGTTACCGATAGTTTCGTACAACCGTGTGAGCCCTTCATGCTTTCGTACAGAGACGCGTGGTAACCGAACTTTTTCAGCGCTGTTCAACCAGTCGTTCTTAACCGAAAAAGTCTATTTTCATTCGTTATATCATTTAAATCGCGATGTCAAGTGTGATTCTATCTAACCCTTTCGCTACGAGCGGATTTTCCGCCGCGGTACTTCCCCTAAACAGACCACCGCGCCAAAAACGTGCATGGTGCTCTAATAAGATCGTCAGCGGCCATGTTTGCACTTCACTGCAATCCGGAGTTGGTTTGACGGTGTTTATTAGGAAAAAAAAACTTAAATGATAAAAACAAAATACTGATGTTGCATTCCAGGAAAAGATACTCGATGTAAAATAACTATATCGCCTGTAGTAGCGAAAGGGTTCACTATTAAGTCTATTTCAATTCATCATACTTGATATCGTATTTGTTTACGACTATTCCAATATAAACAACAGTATTTTGTTAACATTTGCAAGAATGATAGCTTGAAATTTCTATACAAAAGCAAATTTCTATTCAGAAAACGAGTATAAGATTTCAAAATGGCCGTTTCGTTGCAAGTACTCAACCTTATCTTTAACATAACCCATAATAGCATTCGTTTACGATTATTCCAATATAAACAACAATATTTTGTTAACATTTGCAAGAACGATAGCTTGAAATTTCAATACAAAAGCAGAGTGTATTCAGAAAACGACTATAAGATTTCAAGATGGCCGTTTCCTGTACAACAAAGGTTCAGAATCAGCTGGCAAACAGTGTTTTACGGTTACCAAGCGGGACATCCTGTCGAAATGAATACGAACAGTGATTCCCCTCCCTCGGCAATACGTTGTCGGCGATCGCAAAACACGGATGAATGTAAAGAGGAAGGTCCCCCATGAGACGCCTCTCGTCGAGACGCGTTTCACGGGGCGGTCGTCGCAGTTCGTCCGTTCTTCTGTATTTTTTCTTTTCGTCCTTTCGTGGAGATTGTACATATTAATTGCGATCATTATGTAAATACTCTTGAACGCAGACATTGAGACACGTACATACACATACACACACACACACGCCAGGAGACGGAAACGCGCAATCTGTCCGCGCGAGGTTTATTTTAAAGAATACATCATTATATATGATACCATGTAATGATATTTAACAATAAGGTAACATATATTCTATACTCTTACACGCTAAGTACTCAATAAATATATCTATAAAATTTCCCCGTGTTTGTGATTGTCTGCCCCTTGACCCATCCTGCCAGTTCCTGTCGATATTCGTGGCGTCTGAATCCATACACGACCTAATCTGTTTACCGATCGTTCGCCTTTGTCACCCTATTTTCACGTAATTGGGCCCGCTATACGACTCCGTTAAATGTTCCCACCTTGTCTATGTTCACACCTGTCGTACAGGCTCTCCCACGACAATAGCGAGAGGATTTTACTCGTAATTGTATAAATAGATATTTATATGTATTTGGTGCTCTCGTTAACGAGTCCGAAGGTCTGAAAAAAGTACCTACGAATGCGTGATGTGATAAAAGCTGTTTTTTGCTATACGATTACGATGAGAATTAATTAAAGACTTTTAGTAACATCACTGGCAGAGGTGTTTGTCTCGTTCTTTTCTTACTAGCCCGGTGTTGGACCTTATACGGGTCCAATTAGATCATCCTCCCATAGACCTCGCAACCCTCCTTACAATGAAATCTCTCTGGGTGCAACTCTGACTTTTTAACGAACTTCCGACTGTTTACTTGGAATATTAAAACTAATGATTATTCTTTTATACAGTTAATAATTTTTGAAATATTCAACACAAAAATTTTGGTGCCCAAGTAGCTTGAAAAGACAACCTTAATACAAAACTTTGAATTGTTTAAACCAAATCAAGCACCTGGTTCTCAGAGTAAACTTTTAATAATAAAGTTTGTGTGGATAAAGTCAAGAATAATCACGATTTTTGTAGAAATTAAAAAAAAAATTTAATTACTGTCATTATGACTAATACACATGACTAAAAAACATTTATTGCAATAACATACAGTGTCGAAATTGATTTACAATGAATATTGCACAAAATGTGCTTGTACATACTATAGAAAATATATTTAACATTAATCAAGCGAGAAAAGATGTATTTATAAAAATAAGACTATTTTTATATTGTCACTGTTTTATACGATACGAGTCACTAAAAATTATTTATTAATTATAAAGCCAGTATTAAGTGACAAAGTATAATTTTGTAATTTGAATAAACCGGAAACAGAACTGCAATGTTAAATATCTCGAGCATTAATAACCATCTGACTTCAAATCAGTAATCATTAATTAAAATAGTTCCATAATATCGTTGAAAAGTCAAGCTTTCACCTGGGGGAATTAAGTCGTGAGAGAGTGTAATCGTTCCTTTCATTCGGTGTAATGTAGAAAATACGATACGTACGACTACTTGACTCTGGTAGTTACATTATAGTGCACCGAATGCTAGGCCCGTCGCATTGCCGTTTCCGCCATCGGAATCGGAAGGTTCCGTTTCTCTGGAAAAATTATAAACGAAATAAAACGAAACGAAAAGTGACGATTGTCTTGTTCTGCTAGATTAGATGTTTGGAAGCAACTACGAATTGAGAGATTGCAATGTAATGGTAAAATCCTTTCCCTTTTTAGGGATGTGTAGGTACACAATAACCTGTTTACGCAATCCATATGGTACTCGAACATACAAATTCAGGGATAAGACAGAAAATTTCGCATAAAGGTAATACGACGTTACATTATTTTATATCCGAATATAAGAAACGTAATTGCATCATCTGGCAATAACTTTGCCCCAAAATTTTCAAACATTCACCACAATAAAAACACAATTCAATTTGACTCGATGTACCCACACACCCTCATTAAGCGGATATGAGTAAACTATAACTATTAGTAGTTCCTGATGATCGACTGTTTTATAGTCTTTGTTGATGAGAAATAAATTTTACATGAAACTTGGTATCCTTTGTACATCATTTATTACGGAATAATTCTTTTTCTTTCAATGTGTACAATTTGTATAATTTCTTTTTTTTTCAAAATACTTACAATGACCATGTTAATATTCATTTAAAAAAACAAACGAATCGCAGTGCGTTTAATTATTCGAGTCTGGCTTACACAATAATCGCGTCTGATAATTCTATTTTACAGTAGCACAATATTTGTACATTCGTTCCATAAATTTTAATATTACGCGGAATAAAATAATTTTGGTTTAATATTTAAAATTTTGAAATGACCGACGAAAAAATTATTTTACTAGTAGAACCACCTTGAAACGGATATTATATAAAGTATAAATGTAGACTATGTATAGAAATATCACAAATAATTCAATTTTATTGTTAAATATATTTTTTTTCTTTACATTTGAAAAATACTGTATTTTTTCTATACGCGAAAATAATTTACCTTGCGACTAATTGCTTCGTTAATTTTCCGACTATAATAATCAAACTTGCAAGATATCATTAACGTTTTGTAGGATTAAAATTTACATCGAAAGGATAATTAGTAGAAACTTTTAAAAGGTGTTACTGTTAACAATTATACAGCATAAAACATGATTTGGTTAAATGAAATGCAAACTGAATATGACTAGCATTAATAAGGAGGTGGAATGGTAAAAGAAATAGTATAGTAAATCCCTGTCATTCTCATGTCGATTAAAAATATTTCTATGTACAGTACAGCGAAATATTTAAATAGCGATTATCCAAATTGAATTTAAAATTAAGCGTCTCGATTACTTATGCGTGTAATTTTCGATAACATATCTTCGATTGCATTAAACTATAAATCGAAATATTTTGATAATACTATTGTACATACTGTTTCTTATATTCTATAAAATTTGAAACTATTCGGATTAATTAATTCGGATAACCGCAGTCCATTCTTTTGTATGTATTTTAAAATACATACGCAAATTAGTGTACGTTATATTCTACGTTATACAATCACTTAAAAAAATTATTTGTACATAAAATGAAACGAACGTGAATATGGAAATTTTCGAACAGACGGATTATAAATGTATTCTTTGGAAGAATTATTATTAAATATTATATAAATTGAGAGAATCTAAAGTACAGAATGGATAGCGTTTCATTAGTCTTTACATCATCCATCTTAGGAAACATTCTGGTTATACAAAATAAGTTATCTATACAAGTTGCGAACGCAACGCTGGAATTTGTTTAAGATTTTAACCATAATTTGGACTGGAATTAATATGCTTCTGACACAATTCGTTGTTACAAACAAACATGGTAGTGATCGTGTGTAAAGGAGTACAAATAGATAACTATTCACACCAATGCGCCCATTCGTCTTACAAAAACACAATGTGTCGTAAGTACAATGCAATTAGCTTGATATAATACTACTTACTTGAGGCCTAGGCCCCAATTGATACCTTGAACAAGAAACAAAATTAATGGTTGCCAAGCAACTAACCACCTGATCCAGTCCAGTAACTGACCGTACAAAACATGAGGACGTTCCCATCTTAATGTTTTGTTAAGGTATATACACAAAAATGATCGTCAGATTATCGTAATAATTACGAGAAAGAATTTGAAAAAAGGATACGGATTACGGAACATTTTCGTTAGATTAACTTTTTCTTTACAATATGGACACGTTTGTTTTTTTCCTACGATACACCATCCCCTAATACAAAACTCGTGAAAGACGTGCTCGCACGAAAGTTTATACGTATCCTCTATAACACCAGGCTCATGTTCTGACACTAATAGTTTGTTACCACATACAGCGCACACACCTGGCTCTAAAGTCCTTGTAGGCATTTGCCCTGGTACATAATACTGTAAATTATTCAATATATTGCACTATCCATATCTCTCAAATCGTTAATGTAATATTCGACTAGTTTTTTACATACTCCGACATGTGAAGCCATTTTATCTGCACAAATTTCCGCGACATCTCTTCCTAACACTCCGAAATAAAGACCGTAAAATAACAGAAGTATAGCACAATCCATCCATACTTCGGGCTTCACCTCAAATATGAGATTTAAACCAAAAAATGTAGCCAACATTATAATATAACTTATTATACCCAACACATAACTAAGTTTATAAATAAAAAGAAACCATTTGTACACCAATCTGTAAAGAAACATATTGCATGTATTATTAAATTTTGTATAATATACAGGGGGCGGCGAAAAGGGGGTGATTCTACGTGAACGAATAAATCTAAAATATAGAATAACAATTTTTCATGCGAGACTTGGTTTTCGAGAAAATCGTGTTTGAATTTTCGGCGGGCACGCGTGCACCTTCAACTTCAATCGAGTCGAGAATCGATTTATTATCGAAGATTCAAAGTCGATGTTCTCGGAAACGAAGCCTCGCGTGAAAAAGTTTCATTTTATATTTTATACGTATTTTTTCGCGTAGAATCGCCCCCTTTTCGCTTGTTACAGAAAATACCCTGTATATTATACATTGATTGCATGCAATATCAAATTTGTAAGTAGCTAATTACACATTACAAGTAGTTATAAGAATAAATATACCTTGGTGTTGTACCTGCAATAGGCTTTTGAATAGCCTTTCTTACTATCAGTCCTGTTATACAAGAAGATACTAACCAAAGAAATATAAACCTCCACCAATGGTTTTTTAGACACAATCCAAATGGAATAATCCACATAGCAATTAGTGTAACAAACTAGAAAGGGATATTACAGTTTTAAATTACGTCGAATAGGATGAGTTTCAATTTCTAATAGAAAATATCGATTTCAATTTACCTGATATGATTTATAATGCACTTTCTTCCATTTAACTAATACAACCTGTGCTACTAATAGTGTTACTAATAAAATGAGCAGCATTCGTGCATGCATTGATTCGTGCCCCTGATGCTGCGCATGCACTTTTATATGTTCTAGCCTGAAATTTCAAAATTATACATTAAAATCAGATTTAATTTAGCATCAAATAATTGTTGAGTATTACGTCAAGAAAGATATGAGCCTTGATAAAAAACTACAATATTACAGTAAATTATAATAAATTAAAATATATAGATCTTTATACATGATTTAACAAATAGAATGAATATGGTTTTAAAATATTATATATATGGTTTTATAACGTGTATTATTATTTACCTCCATTTTTCTTCCACAGTTAATTCTTCCTCGCTCTAAAATAAAAAAAATATTTGCTATGTTAATATGTTAGGTGTAATTGATTATTTCCCATCGAGAAACATTAATGCTTAGTTATTGCTACATAGAATAAATTGTTGGTTAATTGTAATTGACAACTGTCACGAAATAACCATAATGTAGCTCTTTTTGAATTAACTGTTATCGTTGGGGGTTAACAAAATGGTTTTAATTAAAATAACATTATACCTTGTTTAGGATTATGTGAGAATGCATGTTTAATAATATATTGACCTATCATTTATATTTATAAAATAGATTCTAATAAAATGACATAATAGAGGCAACGCTCTTTCGAGACATTGTGGAGTACTGTTCACATTGGTGTAAATATGACACGTTGATCAGTTTGGTAGTTCGTAGCAGTCGTTGAACATGAACTAGCCACATTTTACATTACCAGCAAATGTTAATGGAAAATAATAAGTACAATATTTTTATTTTACAATGACTTGTTACAAAATTATTTTATAAAATTTAATATAATACTTTATATTCAATGACAATGGAAATATATTTATTTTTCGCAGTGAAACGACTCTTCATAGCCATATTGATGACGATGACATTATGTACACTAAGAGAATTTGGTCAAGTGATAATAATTGGGGTACCAGTAATTCGATCAAATATATTTTAAGGGGGACAATAAAGGACCAACAATTTTTCTTAAATTAATCAATTTATAAATGCAAATTAGGGAGACTGTAAATCGCAGTATATCTTTTCTTAAATTAAAGATATTGGATAACGACAAATAAGAAAAAAGACCCATGTTTTAGACAAATAAATAGAACATAGTTTCGTACAAATAAAAACTAGTTCAGTGTGGAAATATAGTAATTTTCGATACATTTATTTGTTTTTAACAACTTTAAATTTGCAGGATTTATATCTGGTTCAAAATTATACGCATAATTTTGATTCGTTGGAGACTTTCGGAATGCATGTGCATCGGCCTTTAGGTCGACCAATGCGCTCCGTTCGTGCGCGTTCGTGTTTGATCGTGCATCAACGGAGCTAAACCACGCCCATCGGCTGGTGTTCAGAGAGGGAAGCTGGTAATTCACTCTGCAAGCCAGCAATATGAGCGTTTGTACCGTTTCTTGAGAGAACGCGCGACGTGACGAAATTCCATAGACCGTAAAATCGCGCGTCGAAAGTGTCATCCGATTGCGCGCTGTTTGCGGATACAGTGAGTGATACAGTGTCGTGATTGGTTTCGCCTCGTACACGTGGATACGATTTTTGGTTAGTTTTCGGGAGCATCGAAAGGATACCACCGCTAGTCGGTTCATTTGCCTCGAGGAATTGCTTTCGGTGAGTAAGAACAGAGCATACTAGAGTGCATGTGTTCCACGACGTTTTTTTCTACACGCAGTATCATCGCCACATATTGCTGACAAACTGCGCGAGGACTGTCGCAAACGTACTCACATGTCGCGTCTTTAACGCGTAAAGACGTCATGCGTAAATGTCGTGTAACCAATCTCGTTTGATCTCACAAAACGAGACCCTAGTTTCACGAAATGTTTTCAGAAATTCTCATAAATGGACATACGGCTCGCACGTAATATGCTGTCAAATGTTATTGTACATTCTATGCCGTGCAGCTTGCGTTTATCTCTTGTTTACTATTCGTTCTTTAAATAGAAACATGGTTACGCATTTTGAATTTTAAAGTAAAATTACTAGTCCACGCTGGTGGACGAATGTGGATTTCCGGGCTACTCCGTTTTCATAATAAAACACCGACGTTTCGAAACTAACCCACATACTTTGCTCGTGTAACTCGATCATGCGATTTACCTGTAGCTGGCAGAGATTTTTTAACTCATCTCTAACAGGTAGTCTCGATACGTCGAAAAAGTCACGTCGGTGTGGATCGTGTTGGCAAAGAAAGAGAGACGAAATAGGTTAATAGTTTTACATTTGGTTTCCACCTGACTGCTAGATCAAATATCGAATCGTAAATCACACTTATCTGTTACAGCGTATCTAGAATTTTTCCATGGAAAGCATATACGTCTAGCGCTAAGTATCTAACCTGTCATTTCGTTATTCCTTGGTCGAAGGAACGATTTTAATCAGGTACCGTAACGTATCGTGACCTACCTTATTAACTCAATTACATTTGATTTATATCTGATAATTCGCGCGTTCAATTTTTCTTCGTAATTATTAAATTTTATGAATATATTATTTTTGGATTAGAACTAACGTTAGTTTGTGTTTCCCAGAAAATAGAATGGTTCTCGAACGTAAGTTACGTCTGGTTCACACTAAATAAGTCAGAGAACTCGAAAGGAGCAAAATCCTCGTAGCCACGACCGTTTAGATGTTGTATAAATTGGCGACTATCCAAGTTTCCGTACTCTCACCACGTTCTCAGTCTTGGGACCACGCTATCACATTCCTTGTTAGTAGTATACGTACGTGCTGTCTTTCCGCATGATTTTGCGCGAACCACTTCTACAGACTAGGTAGAAACAAGCATTACCTGTAAATAGATACAAATGTTCGTGGTCTATAGAAAGCTCTCTTAATCTATTTTGCGTTCAAAAGTCATTTCAAATCATTAAATCATTCATAAAAATTGAGGTTAGAAAACAATGCAAAACGTGTTTCTAGATCGTTGAAATCGAAACTGTTTAAATTAGCAATTTTGTCGTCGCCATTGCATTTCCTTGCAACCTGTAAACAACTTTAATTTTTTTAATTCATTATATTTATAATTCTTAATATTTATTATACTATCAACAATGAAATATTTTAGGTTCTTTGTTGGAATTAAAATTTACAATTTGTAGATCTATAAATTGAATTAATTTTATAATATCTACTTAACCAAAAAGATTATGTTAGTGATAGTGTAACAAACATTAAAGAATCAAGATCTACAGAAACAGAAAGACTACTTTGTATAAGTGTGTAAGCAATTTGCGTGCAATTCTTTTAAAGTTCGAAGCAGCGGAATGGTGGTCGCCCAGTCGTCTTCCTTTTCTCGTATCTTTTGGGATCTACTAAAAGATCGTATACAATGGAACGGCCCCTATTCACTACTTTAGCAACTTCGTGATACCGTAATTTCCTGAACGTAAAAGCAGAATTCGATCGATCTCACATCATTCCGGAAACTTTCGTCGACCCAATTTTCGATCCTCTTCTAAATAAATCTGTCGATACTTTCGTTAGAGCAGAACTTTTCATTACCATTTCTGTGACTTACTCAATAGCCACGTTGTAATAGGAAACGAACAAACACAATTCAAGTCACGTATGTTTCCCTGAACGGATCAGCTATTGTTTAAATTTTTCTCTACAAAAATATATTCATATATGAACAGGAGATCTTTATTTGAATAACAATTGATAAATAATGACAAATAATAAAAATATTTTGTATCAAATAATAATTGATATATTTCAGTGACTCAAATGATTGATCTAAATTAACTAATTATTTTAATAAAATTACAGTATACTTTCGGAAAATATAAGGAATATATACATAAACATTGTATAATAAATATAGGTAGGTACATTTTACATGCATTTTCTTGTCGTTACGAATAACATTTTATTTCCTTAATCTTTGTATTATTGTTTCCCCTTAACAGATTTGAAGAGAGGAGTGGAGGGTTGTGGGAGGTGAGTCTCTAGACTAGAATTATAGTCTACCAGTAATTTCATGAAACACCTGCTACATATACATTAGAAAATCGATGTGTGAACGTCACGTAGCATGTATTCAGGACAGATATATTTAGAATGAATGATCGAGGAAACGTAGTAAATCGAAAAAATATGATAAAACTGCTGTTATCGCTTCTGATTGTCACGATTGATATAACAAACGTTGTAGCTGTGTATTGCGCTGTAGATACCTTGGTAAAGTCAATATTCGTTGGAAGTGGATTTAATGGAAAATTTTGTAATTGAATTCGAAGGGGGGAAATGAAACCCAATGGGGAAAATCTCTTTTAAGAGAAATTACATGTCAATCCATCTTCTGGAAAAAAGATTCGCTAATTGGAACGAGATCGTTCAGTTGTATAATTACTGTTACGATATCGAATGACCCATTTCACGTTCAATTTGATTTGGGGCCACATTTGACCCCCCTTCGACTATATTTATCAACGAAACTAAAAAAAGACAGAATAATAACTAATTATATAATATATATTATTTCAGGTTCAATTTGATTTGGGGTCACATTTAACCCCCCCCTATTCGACCGTACCCTTTGCATATCGTCGATCATGCGTTAGATTTCAGAGAGAATGATCGATTTATGTAGCGAATGGTTTTTTAGTGAAATTCAACTCGATAACAGGTATTTTGTTGATTGGAAATTCGAAAGTGATGTTTATTGGTAGTTTGAAAGTGAATGCCACGTATGGGGTACATCGAAGTGATCTTTGCGGTTTACTTGCGGTGATAATAGTTCCGGAAATGAGTTAGAGACGTAGACGTATCGTCGCGAATTACAGCAGGCTTATTTACTATACCCGAGGGCTTCCATATATTAAGTATTCACAGTGTGTATATTACTCAAACCAATCACGTGTTTCGAGAACTTGTGTAATATTTGAGATTTAATTTTTCGTTGGTTGTATTTTTCAATTGCCTCGATGTAATTACCGATGTCGGATAAAACGTTATTGTTCATCATAATTTAACAGTCGATATCTTTTTTCACAATGTTTTCCGTCTCATTTACTTTTCCCCGCATAACTTAGAAAGCACACCTGTTGAAATCGACCTTTTCTCTTCCCAGAACACTCCACGAAACCCATAAAAGGTGAAAATCTACTATACAGAGCTTATTATAAGATATAATATCGATTCCAAAGAACCGAAACGAGATATTCTTGGAAATATTGGTCCCACATAACAGACATAACAGTTCGAAACAGTTATATTTGGAACCCTTTCGGTCTCTGTTTCACGTTCGGGTGGATTCATAATGGACGATGTAAACTGGTAAAAAGATATTGCAACGAAGTAGTTCCCAAGTCCTCTAATGATATCCATGTCATAATAACAATAACACACCGTAATTCTGCCCCCCAACACACTGTGCAATTGAGACACTGACAAAATTAAGTTTAACCGTAGCAGTCGCTCCGCTTTTCACTTTCCAGCGCCGACAACGATCTTTTCCTCGTTTATGAAAGGACGCGTCTGTGAGAAAGAATAACTGATTTCGTCCCAATTGCAAGTTTGGATCGCGGTTATAATGGTTATAATCCCCGGTAGACTACGGGCTGATCGATCGCAGAAGATGGAATCCCATTGGAATTAGGTGCCGACGTAAGTTAAAAAGACTTCGCATACCGTCGGACGTTCCGTTCACTGTCGTGCTCGGCATTACTCACGTAACGTCCTTTCAGATGGTTAATGCGCGTTACGTGATTCAGTAGTGTACAGGGTGTTCCAAGATAAACGTCAAGTCAAATGATTCGTCGACGAACCCTCTGCAAGGAGTTACTAGCTAGCTACCAAGCAGTGAGCTAGCTAGCAAGGTGTGAGCTAGTTTAGCTACCAAGGAGTGAGCTAGCTAGCTTAGCTAGTAAGGAGTGAGCTAGGTAGCTACCAAGGAGTGAGCTAGCTTAGCTAGTGAGGAGTGAGCTAGCTAGTTTAGATAGCAAGGAGTGAGCTAGCTAACTACCAAGGAGTGAGCTAGCTTAACTAGCATGGAGTGAGCTAGCTAGCTTAAATAGCATGGAGTGAGCTAGCTAGCTAGCAAGGAGTGAGCTAGCTTAGCTAGTGAGGAGTGATCTAGCTAGCTTAGCTAGTAAGGAGTGATCTAGCTAGCTACCAAGGAGTGAGCTAGCTAATTAGCAAGGAGTGAGCTAGCTTAACTAGTGAGGAGTGAGCTAGCTAGCTTAGCTACCAAGGAGTGAGCTAGCTTAGCTAGTGAGGAGTGAACTAGCTAGCTAGCAAGTAGTGAGCTAGCTCTCTAGGTAGCAAGGATTGAGCCCCTTGAGATTTTGTATTAATTTTGCGATTACTTTGTGACCAATTCTATGATCACGTTCGAACTGATCGGTTCTAAGCACGTTTGGTTTTATCAGCCCCGCTTTATAGAGCTTGTAGAATTTAGTCGTCTTCAGAATTTCTATAGCCAACGTGTACTTAGCCTCGAATATCTAACAATTTTTCACTGCTTTCGATCGCTGCCGCTTTCCTTGCTTCTCATTTCGAGGATCATTGATTTCTCAAGCAAGCAAGCATATACTTATACCTGGTTAGTGAACAGGGAATACATTCGAAGCATCGTGGCCTTGTTACGTTACGTGTATTTAAATTTC